CAGATTTTGGCAAGAGGTCTTCATAGCTCTTTTCTTACAGACTTAGCCCAAGGTTCTTGAGACCCTTTCTCACAGGCTCTTTTGTATTATGCTTTTCAGCTTACCTACTGTTATTTTAAAGACTCATCATAGCTACAAGCTCCAGCTGAAGCTCTCATGGAGATCCATATACTTACCACCATCTTGGACATTAATTCATTAATAGGAGAGATGAGAAAGCAGGTAGTATGTAATCACCAGCACTAACTGCATCTTGCAACACTACCGTGTTTCTAGGCAACCTGGTGCTACTAATACAACTTGGTAACACTTCTTAGCTTATGTGGAGTGCAAAACCACACAGCTATGTGAAAGCAGCAAGCAATGGAATATGTTGTTTTACTCAGCTGTATGTATAAATAGGAGTAATACAAAGTACTAACAAATTAAAAAGGCTCTAGTCTACTGACAAAAAAGACCTATTGGGTTTGTATGTGCTTTTTTGATAATTGCCTATCTAAATTTGCAGATTAGATCAAACATCCTGCCAGCTTTACACAAGGTGGTTTGGCAAGTACAGAACCTGAAAGCTGACAGCAGATAAAAGCACATTAGCATTATTTGGCATTTTACTGCTCTACTGAGAAAACTCATTTTGTATCTTCCTTGTCTCTCAGCAATATCCCATTTTATTCTCTGCCTGCAAACCACCAAAACCCATTAGGTCTCTTCAGAACATTCATCCTGGAAAACAAAACAGTCCTTTTCAGAGTATTTTTAAGGAAAAAAAGAAAGAGAAAGAGAGAGAGAGAGAAAATGGATGATAGGCATGTTACTTATCAAGTTTTTTTTACACTCCTACTTAAGGTCCAGCCAAAACAAGATCCCAATTTGCTAATGATTAGGAAATCGAGGTTACCTTTATCTTCCCTTCCTCCTCCCCCGGGATGCTATGTGGCTAATTTTCTTCATGCTTCAAATTCTTCAACTAAGTGGCTATTCTGTGCTAAGTAAACTGCACACACACATTGTATCCAACTCAAGAGCAGTAAGGTGACCTATCTTTCCTGCTCTGTAGGAAAAGATGAAGTATCATGTAGAGTGTATAATGGATAACAAGTACAATTTCCCTACAGCATTTCTATCTCAACATAAGAAACAACAAAACATATCATAGAATCATAGAATGGTTTGGGTCGGAAGGGACCTTAAAGATCATCTAGTTCCAACCCCCCCACCATGGGCAGGGACACCTTCCACTAGACCAGGTTGTTCAAAGCCCCATCCAACCTGGCCTTGAACACTTCCAGGGATGGGGCATCCACAACTCTGGGCAACCTGTTCTGGTGCCTCATCACCCTCATCGTAAAGAACTTCTTCCTTCCATCTAGTCAAAATCTACCCTCTTTCAATTTAAAGCCATTACCCCTTGTCCTATCACTGCATGCCCTTGTAAAAAGTCCCTCTCCAGCTTTCTTGTAGGCCCCCTTTAGGTACTGGAAGGCTGCTATAAGGTGTCCCCAGAGCCTTCTCTTCTCCACGCTGAACAACCCCAACTGTCTCAGCCTGTCTTCATAGGAAGGGTGCTCCAGTCCCCTGATCATCTTCACAGCCATCCTCTGGACTTGATCCAACAGATCCATGTCCTTCCTCTATTGGGGGCCCCAGAGCTGAACACAGTACTCCAGGTGAGGTCCCACCAGAGTAGAGTAGAGGGGCAGAGTCACCTCCCTCAACCTGCTGGTCACACTTCTTTTGATTGCGATTGGCTTTCTGGGCTGCAATGATCAAGGATTGAGCAAAAGTCCTGGTAACATAGGAAATACAGGGCTGTATTTGGATAGGTAGACTAGCAACTAATTAATGATAAAATTTTTACCTTGCCTGTCCTTTTGATGAATAACCATTTTCTGCAAAAAGGCTGACTGATTTATTTACAAAAGCGAAGGAAGAAGAGAGTAAAACCCACACAAACAAAATGAGACAGTCACTGAAGAATGACCCTATTGGGTCCAGTGTTCTTTATGACCACTCCGGTGAAACACTCAAAACCTATATTCATGGTGGTACATTATGCATTCACTGCAGTATGCTGCTTCAGTGGAATTACTGTTATGCTTAAATTTAAGTGAGTGAGGGGGTGTCTAACAGATCTCTCACAGGCTAACATTCTACCTGCTCTCTGGGCAGTTCTGCTTACATGCAGCCAATTGTAATATATGTAGCTGTGTGAGTGCAGCTTTTAACCATAGGCGGTATACTCCTGAACAAGGGTTATTGGCTCAGGCTCAGAGCCACACTCATTGAAGTATATTGTTTTGGACAGCTTGAAGTACATGTGGGGTGAGATTATATCTCAAGGCAAATGATGTCATGCACAGAGTATTTTATTAGATTAAGACCAGAGCATTTAGCATCTTGCAGATCTGAACTCTAGCTTTCATACATCTTGCTCCACAGCCAAAACTGTACAGACATCTAGACCTTATAGATACAAAGCCTTCCTTAAAAGTCTTGAAGAGTTATCTATATCTATCTGTCACTCCTGAGATGGTGTTCATGATGGTCTTAGCTTTCTTGCTTGAAGAACTAATCGTTCATTTGGCTGTAAACTACATTTTAAAAATTGCTACTTATCAAAAAATATTCAATGCTCTTCTGTGCTCTTAGAAATTACATGTTGCACTGCCCTGTGAGGAGCATTAAAACAGTGTATCTCTCATACTCAAGGATGAGAAGCCAGAAGGAAGAGAAGCTTATGAGCTGTTTGACTAAAGAGTCACCATGACCTACCACCACTAAAAACCTGCTTGTGTAGTTTAGGGTAAATTTGAACTGTGAAAAAATCCGTCACTACAGCAATTTCTCCAGTCTAAGAAGAAGACAACAAAATGGACACAAGGTAAGATTTCAGCATTAAAAAGATCAAGAGGTTTAAATTACCAAAAACTTTGAAATCATACAACAAGTAATCAAAAGAATTAGGAACCTGAAAGATTGCATTAATGAATCTCAGGAAAATTTAAGAATTGGTTTCTTTCAGTCAGCATTCTAACAAATCCAGTGTGTTCATGAAGTGTGGAGGACCTCGGCTAGACTGAGGGGCCTGGGGAGGATATTGACCTGGACAAGATTACAGTGTTCCTGTGAGAGAACAAGAAAGGATGAGAAGCATGCCTGGGAAACTAAGTTTAAGGAATGTGTTGACCATTTGCAGTTGTGATAAGGAACCTGAAAAAGTCACCCAATGAGGGGTGAGAAAAACAACTTCTGACAACTTTTTGACCAATAAGGGACAGACATATGTACAAGGTAACAAGTATAATGGGTATAAATTTGCTGGCTTGTAGTAATAAAAAAACCTTCTTTGCTTGTACTATAAGAATGCGTACTTGTCGTTTGTCCGTCTGGACCACGACAGTTGGTGACCCCGACGTGATGCTGTAAATAATGCTTGTGACTGCGAGGAGAGCAGTGGAGATGGAGCCCGGCATAGCTTGAGAGCAGCGGGAAGACCTTCTAGCCTGGACCGATACTTGACTCCTGGAGATACACAGGTGAGCTGCCGGGAACATGGGCGGGACCCTCAGTAAAGAGGACGCCGGAATTGTAAATATGTGGAAAGTAATATTGCAAAAGAGAGGACTTAAATTAGAAGAGTTGATGTTGCGGAAAATGCTCTTATGGGGCAAGCAACACAGATATAAAGCAGATACAGTGACTGCTTTTAGTGTGCCTGTGTGGCAAGGACTCGGGGACAAGCTGTTTGACAGTGCGTCTGGAGGATCTAAGGAGGCAGCCAGCCTCCTGATGACGTGGTACCTGCTCCTTGAAACCGTCAAAGACATTAGAGAACAAAGGGATAGGATGAAGGAGCCAGACGTCCCTATCGCGGGGGGAGGACAGTCCTCTGTCCCAGAGAGGACGTGGGGTCTGTTGCCCAGTCCTCTGGCGAGTGTGCAGGGCGGCCAAAGCCACGGGGCCGACAAAAGAACCCTTTCGTTGATGACTCTGATGATGAGCAGCCCTCAGGACATCCTCGGACTATTAAAGATAGAACATATAAGCGGCCCCAGGACTTGCTTCCTGGTAGTGACATATGCCCTGCTGAAACGGCAGAGGCGCCGGTTAACCCGTGCGCCCCCCCTTGCCCCCTGATTCAGAGGATCGAGAAGGGATGAATAGCCCCCCCCGGGCGCGGGGAGGGGAACAGGGGACCTCATGCCTGTACCCCCCTCTGCCAGCCGAAACATCAGAGGGTTGGGATGATCCCATGGACAATGATATGGGGGATCCTGAACCTGGGGGGTCTGCGGGAACACCGAAGGAGGGACAATTACAGGGAGGCTCGCGTTGCCGAGGACAGCCCTGGGTCCTTCCACCGGCTCGAATTACTGTCAGTCCCCACAACCCCCTGAAATTCTGGCAGCAGGTGAAAGCTCGAGCTCTGCAAGAAGGAAATTGGGACCTATCCGAGCAAATTAACGTTCCTGTAACAGCAGGCAACTCCGGTGAAATGAATTTAAGGGGGACTGGGGCTATGGCTTTCCCAGTGGTACGGAGTGATCCAGGACAAGGAATTATGGATGAACATAGACCATATTCGTGGAAAGTTATATAGGATTACAAAAGGCAACTGCCCAATATGGTCCCAACTCCCCCGCAGTTATGCAATTAATACTCCTATTAACTATGGAAGAAATGACACCTCATGATATTGCTCAAATTGCTCAAATTATTTTCCAACCTGTGCAATGTGCCGTTTTTCGTAGTATCTAGAATCAGAGAGCAGAGGCGCAAGCAGTACACAATTTGCAGCTTTCACAAACCGATCCACGTTATGGTAATGGAGCTGATGTTCTGACTGGGACTGGTCAATTTAATAATCCTCAACATCAGGCTCAATGGCATCCACTTGTATTGGAGCAAGTAAAGACTATTGGTGTAGAACTTTGCTCCAAACGGCAGAGCTGGCAGAGCCTAAGGCAAGATATACCATGATTAAACAGGGGGCTAAAGAGCCATTTCTGTCATTTGTAGAGAAATTGATGGGGGCTATAGAGCGGCAGGTATTTGATGCACATATACGAGAAATGCTGGTAAAACAGTTAGCCCGTGACAATGCTAACACAGAGTGTCAAAAGGTGATTGAGACGCTCCCTGGGGATCCAACCCTAGAAGCTATGATTACGGCTTGCGGGAAGGTGGGCTCTGTTGAACACAAAATGTCTGCATTAGCTACAGCTATGTCTGCAATGCGTATGTCTGATCAGAAATGTTACTGCTGCGGGCAGGCTGGACATGTCAAGGCTAACTGTCCCGCTAAAAATAGAAAAGGAGGAGCTGGGCAGGTGCCTGTTGGAGCAGCTACATGTCTTAAGTGCGGAAAGCTGGGACACTTTGCAAAGCAATGTAAATCTAAATTTCATGCTAACGGTCAACCCCTCCAGTCAGGAAACGGCAGAAAGAGTGCGAAGGGGCGCATGCAGACACAAATGCCCTACCACTCCAGCAACCCCTTTCTGGTACAACAGCCAGCGCAGACACTAAAAGCCTTTGTGACAAGTTACGGGGACAAATCCAAGAGGCAGCCGGGATGGAGGGATGCACTGCCCACACAGTAACTTTATCTACCCAAGGAGTGCATAAAGTGCCCCTGGAAGCCTGGGGAGTGATTGGTAAAGGATTAAGTGCCTTACTAATAGGACGATCAAGTAGTACTTTGCAAGGGTTAATGGTGCATGTGGGAGTTATTGATGCTGGTTATCACGGGCAAATATGTGCAATGGTATCTACTGCAACCCCTCCAGTCACTATAAAAGGAGGCACACGAATTGCTCAACTCATACCATTTATGAGCTGTGTGCCTGCGACAGAACAGGTAATTCGTGGTACTCAAGGTTTTTGGTCCGCTGGAAAGCCGCAGGTATTTTGGTCGCAACGCATTACGGAAAGCAGGCCAGAAATGACCTGTACCCTCACTATGGCAAATGCATCCCCATCACAGATAAAATTGATAGGTTTGCTGGACTCTGGGGCTGATATGACCATCATAGAGCAGTGTAACTGGCCCTCCTCGTGGCCATTGGTTGTAAATGCGGAAGGAGTGTTGGGTGTAGGTGGAGTTTCAAATAGTTTTATTGCAGCAAAACCTGTGCTAATAAGCAACCCAGAGGGACAGAAAGCCACTGTGAGGCCATATGTCACCACTTTGCCACTTAATTTATGGGGTCGAGATGTGTTGGATCAATGGGGGGTGCGTCTTACCATGGATTTTTCATAGGGGCCACTGTGCTGCAGGGCATGGAGCGCCTGACACTGGCACTGACCTGGTTAACAGATAAACCAGTGTGGGTGGATCAGTGGCCCCTCAATCAAGAAAAACTCCTCGCCTTGAAATCTTCAGTTGCAGAACAATTGGCTGCAGGACATATTGAGACCTCTCATAGCCCATGGAACACACCAGTGTTTGTGATCAAAAAGAAATCTGGAAAATGGAGGCTATTACCTGATTTACGAAAGATTAATGAGGTAATAGCAACCATGGAGGCATTGCAGCCGGGGTTACCTTCTCCAGCTATGATTCCAATGCAATGAGAAATTATTATAATGGACTTAATAGATTGTTTTTTCACCATCTCTTTAGCCACACCTGATATGGAGAAGTTTGCTTTCACTGTACCCTCAGTGAACAACAGTGAGCCGGCGAAAAGGTATCATTGGAAAGTTTTGCCTCAGGGAATGAAAAATTCTCTCACCATTTGTCAGTGGTTTGTGGCAAAGGCCTTAAGTCCAGTTCGTACTGCATTCCCAACATGTTATTGTTATCATTATATGGATGACATTTTGTTAGCTGCTCCATCTCAACAGATGTTAAGCGAAATGGAAGTCACAGCACATGATTCACTACAGTGATTAGGCCTAGTTATTGCACCTGAAAAGGTAAAGTGTCAACAGCCGTGGCTGTATTTGGGTATGAAAATATTAAATCAGATGGTCACACCACAACCCATTCAGTTACAATTGGAAATAAAAACTTTAAATGATATACAAAAATTGGCCGGAGTAATCAATTGGGTTCGACCCTATTTAGGGTTACCATCATCGAAATTACAGCCACTTTTGGATTTATTGAAGGGTGATAGAGATATTGCTGCACCACGGGCATTAACCCCTGAGGCAAAGGAAGTAATTACAGAAGTAGAGCAAGCAATTGTGCATAGATGTGTGTAGAGAATTGATCAGACAGTTTCAATTCAGGTTTTTGTATTAATAGACAAATTGATACCTTTTGCCATGATCACACAATGGAATTCTGATTGGCCAGATCCATTGCATGTGTTAGAATGGGCCTTCTTACCATTCAGACCAAACAAAACCGCCCCAGATCTTTTTGAGCTTTTAACCCAAATTATCATGAAGACCCAAGTTCGATGTATGGAATTGATAGCCAGGGACCCGGAATGTATCACTGTGCCTGTTAAAACTGATTATTTTGAATGGTGTCTCGCTAATAGCTCTGCATTGCAAGCAGCCTTGGCAAATTATACTGGGCAAATTGGGTATCATCTTCCCTCTCATCCGTTAATTAAAATGGGAAGTCAAATACGCTTTACACAAAAGCAACTAAGTCAATCAGAGCCGGTGATTGGTCCCACGGTGTTCACTGACGGTTCAGGAAAAACAGGAAAAGCAGCCATTGTGTGGCATGATGGCCAGCAACGGCAACAGAAGATAGAACAGCAAGAAGGCTCCCCTCAAGTTGTACAACTTGGAGCAATGGTGATGGTGTTTCAACATTTTCCAGATCCTGTAAATGTTGTCACCGATTCAGCTTATGTGGTGGGTTTGGTTCAAAGATTGGATAAGGCTGTGCTTGGTCAGGTGGGAAATGAAAAGTTATTTGGTGTGTTGAAGCTGTTATGGATGGAGATTCAGGAACAGTGCTCCCCATATTATGTCATGCATATTAAAAGCCACACAAGCTTGCCTGGTTTTATTGTGGAAGGGAATGCTCGTGCAGATGCTCTCATATCGGGGGTGGCAATAGGTCCAGTACCAAATATGAGACAACAAGCAATCGAAGCTCATTGTTTTTTTCACCAAGGACATTGGGCCTTAAAGCGGCAATTTCGATTGTCGAACTCTGAGGCTCGTGCCATCGTCGCCGCATGCCCTGACTGTCAGGGCCACCATGTACCTCATTATTATGGAACCAACCCTAGAGGCCTTCGAGCCTTGCAAATCTGGCAGACTGACGTGACACATATTCCTGAGTTTGGGCGGTTGAAATATGTGCATGTGTCTATTGATACTTTTTCTTCTGTTGTTATTGCCACCGCTCATACAGGTGAAGCTGCCAGGGATGTTATTCGACACTGGCAACGAGCATTTTCTGTGGCTGGTGTACCTCAGCAGATTAAGACTGACAACGGTCCAGCTTATCTTTCTACCAAGGTGACTACCTTTTTGCAGCTTTGGGAAATTACCCATGTCACCGGTATCCCGCATTCTCCCACAGGACAAGGCATTGTAGAGCGCGCCCATGGAACTCTAAAGCATATGCTTCAAAAACAAAAAGGGGGAATGATGGGTGAGGGCCCGGAGGCTCAACTTAACAAGGCGACGTATGTATTAAATTTTTTGTAGGTCACTGATGATGTTCAACAACCACCAATGCTGCGTCATTTTGGGTCATTGACAAGTATATCTGGTGTGACCCCCAGGGTTAAGGTTCAGATATGGGACCTGCAGATGGGTCAATGGTCTGCACCTTGTGACTTATTAACCTGGGGTCGAGATTATGCTTGTGTCTGCACAGATACTGGACCGCGATGGGGGCCGGCACGACTGGTAAAACCCTACTTAGAAGTGTCATCGCCTGCTGCAGTCTCCTCAGAGTAGTGGTTGCAATATGGGTATCATCGCAGCCCAAGATGAACATATGGGTAATGCTTGCAAATGCTACAGGCCAAGAGGGATGCTGGCTAAGCACGCAAAGCAATGCTACATCACAAGCTCTTTCTGGATTATTGCTAGATATAGATTCTATATGCCATGCTATGCTATAAAACAGAGCAGCTATTGATTTTCTATTGTTGGCCCATGGCGACAGTTGTGAAAACCTTAACAGTACGATCATTCGGTGTCAGTGTCCCAGAGTATCCAACAGCTGCGAAAGGAGGTGCAGAAGCTGACAGAAGATGTTGGGTTTTTTGGGTTGGAGGGCTTGTTCCCTCAATGGGCGATTGGAGGGTGGTTAAAGGGAGTATTGAAAACAGGATTATTAATATTGGCAATTATTATCATTGCATTGAGCATCCTCCCATGTGTGCTGTCCTTGCTGCAAAGGGCCCTGCAGCGGACAATTCACATGGCATATTTGGTGCAAAAACAAAAAGGGGGAATTGTGGAGGACCTCGGCTGGACCTCGGGGCCTGGGGAGGATATTGGCCCTGGCAAGATTACAGTGTTCCCGTGAGAGAACAAGAAAGGATGAGAAGCATGCCTGGGAAACTAAGTTTAAGGAATGTCTTGACCGTTTGCAGCTGTGATAAGGAACCTGAAAAAGTCACCCAATGAGGGGTGAGAAATACAACTTCTGACAACTTTTTGACCAATAAGGGACAGACATATGTACAAGGTAACAAGTATAATGGGTATAAATTTGCTGGCTTGTAGTAATAAAAAAACCTTCTTTGCTTGTACTATAAGAATGCATACTTGTCGTTTGTCCATCTCGACCACGACAATGAAGGATGTCAGGATCCACAATACCAGAACAACAGATCTAAAAAAAGGGCTCAAAACTAAAGTGTGCATAGAAAGAATTTAAATATAGGTGAAAAAAAAATCACAGCAGACACCTAATGTTGCTAGTGTCATTTCTCAGTATGACTTTCAGGTTACTGTCCCATACATGCAAAGAACTGAGCAAAGCAGTTCAAAATGTGCCTTACACCAAGCCCAATCAATAACTGCACCTTTTCCCCTCCACCAAAGTCCTCCATGAGGTCTCACTGGGAAAAGTGTGAAAGAAAAAAGAACATATACAAAATGGATTTTTTTTTTTAAATTACAGGAAGAGGGTGCTTTCTTCTACATTGATCTTCTGTCAGTGTTCTTGTATTCTATGCCAATTTAGAATCAGAATCTGTTCTTAGCTATGCCAGAGTTGACTATAATGGAGTTATATTAAACTCATTGCCGAAGTTCATAGGCAGAGATGGGGCCTGACATTTTAAAAGCAAAACAAAAGGTAAATCTCTTCAAGTACAAAGGCTCCAGGACGGGCTTAGACTTCAGCCTACACCCCAAATACCCATAAAAGATACAGAAAAACTCTGGGAAAGTACTTTTAATCCTAACTTCATGTGACCTGCAGGTTAGAATATGGATTTAACTTTGTCATGAATTAACTTGATGTGTGGCCAGAATCCCCGTTCCTGAATGAAGTATGTCCATTGCTCAGAGACCCTTGAATGAACTTCAAATCCCCCATCATGGAAAAAAAATGGAAAAACATGGACAGATCTTCTCCAGTATTTGACAGAAGGCGGGGCGGGGGGGGG